CATATTGTCAGCCTCAACTTCGAAACTAGCCAATTAGACTGGACCTATTCTACCCAATACTCTCCTTGGGGATTGGCTTGTGACCAGGATGGCAAAATATTTATTTGTTTGGACAACAATTCGGTGCAAGTTATCTCCGAGGAAGGCCAGTTAATCCAGGACAAATTTGTTACCGAAACCGATGGTATCAAAACACCACATGCAATATGCGCGCGTCGAGGACAAATTGCTATGACTGAATTTGGACCAAGTTTGTTCGTTCCGAACAGCCCTTTTGTGTATATTGCAAAATTCAGTAATTAATTTCTGCATGCAAAATATTTTTCAAGGAGTAACATGGGCACGATGTATATCTGTGCAATGGACGTCTTCCGTTAATATTTGAACATTTTCAGCTTCTTCCTTGGAACAGTTGAGCCAGTTTTGGCCAAATTTGGTACATTACCTTTACAGGTGAAGGGAAACTAAAATTGCACATCTCCCTCTTGAGGCCCGAGAGAAGGGCCCAAACCTTCAAGACGAATATTTAAGGAATCGTTTTTTGTCAGTTAGACGCAGATCTAGGAAACAAATGTTAAAAGTCCTCTACCAAAAATGTGAAATTCATGTCCTTTAGGTTCGGGGCTCAGGTTCCTTGAGCAAGGTCAAGTTACATGTAATCATAAAAAAATCTGAAATTGGCCTTTGAACTATCATAATAAACAAAGTTCACCAAGAATGAGGGTGATATTAAAAATTGCAATTGTATCTTTAAGAATTTTCCTTTATTGAATGATGTTTCCTTTATTGGATATTTGGCAGACAACTCGTATGCATGATGATAATGAATTTGACGCTTAAAATTGTCGATTTCGTGTTCAAGGTGTGAAGGTTCAAAAGGACCCGGATGGGGCTAAATCGATATCGAGTCCAACGGGCCATCAAAGTAAGCCTGTAGTCAATAAATTTTACTGGATTTTGGCATAGTGATGAGTGAGATGAGTGACCCCCCCCCCTTCCTCCCGCAGAGGTATTTGAAATCTGTAAGTCTCCGTGGCTTTGCCATTTATGTAAAATTCAATTGTACAGCTCTTTTTTTATACCTCACCTGCAATTTCCAGGATTTTGACTAATTTCACTCTTTGCATATACATTGTATGCATGTGAATTTCACTATGGTACTGTATATATTAAAATTGCGAAACCAGTTGTTTTTCAATTTAATCAATAGAAGCTGGTTTTGTTGTACGTACTTGTATTTTGTGAATTACTTCAAAGGGACTGACAGCATATGCACGACCTTTAGCACACATGCAGCCCCCTTTCCTCCCCTGTTAAAGGACTAATAATAATTCCCATCACCAATTGAGAATATGTCTTTGAATTCAAAATCTGAAAATAAAAATATTTTATATAAGGTTTTAAAGTAGTGTATCAGAAACGAAAGGTGATTAAAAGTCCAGATTCATTATTGAGAATTAAATTTATTTATACATATTTTTCTTAACTGCATGGTTGCTGATTGATTTGGCCGTGCAGTTGTTTAATGAGTATATTTGTTCATGTATGGTGAAAATATTTATGTATAGTAAAATATTTACATTCCAAAGTTGTTTTCGTAATTACACAACTCACATAACTTCTTATAAGTAAAATAAATCACTGAGTTATCGCAACATAAACAAGGGATGCGGATCTAGAAATTGTTGATGAGGAAACCACAGCAAATCAGGAATGCTATATAATAAATAAAAACGCTGGATTAAGGTAGTCCGATCCTCAGAATCTGAAAATCGGAAGTTTAGTAATTGAAAATGCTTACAAAAATATGTTTGAATTCACAAAGTGGAGTGTATTTACCCATGGTATTTCTTATAGTTAATCATATTATATAGGACAAATTATCAAATCTCAAATATTTTTCAGGAAGCGCGAATAAAAGCACTAGCTATGCATTTTCTAATAGAAAATTGATCAATAGTCATATTTTAAGATAAAGAAAAACTATATATATATATATAGGTTTTCAGGCATTTGGAGAAAATTGCATATTTTTAATAAACGGTATTTTAGTTTTACTTACTTCAATTGTTATACGTATAATTTATAGGTTTGTGCTATCGGTGCAAGACATATGTCACTTTTTAATTTCATATCACAGGTGCTTGGCGACGGGGCCCCCCTCCCTCCCCGTGTTCCGTACCCCAAGGGTTCTTTGACTTTTTTAAAATAAAATATTTTTCTATGACACATTCCCAAAGTATTACAACTGAAAAATCCAAAATATAACCTAAAACTAGGCTTTTATAAAAAAAATTCACATTCTCTGATACCAAAAGAGAACTTTTAGTATCAGAGAGTGTGAATTTTTATAAAAGGCAAGTTTTAGGTTATATTTTGGATTTTTCAGTTTTTTATACTTTGTTAATGCGTCATAGAAAAATATTTTATCAAAAAAAGGTCAAAGAACCCTTGGGGTACGGAACATGGGGGAGGGGAGGTCCCGTCCCCAAGCACCTGTGTTTCAAATCAGCTAATATCATAGGTATTTAATGCTAGATTGAAGGAAGTCCTAGTTCTCTAAACATTTATTTAATTTTGTACTTTTATGGGGTACAAATATCAACTTTTTGACCGTATGTAAGACTTCAAAGAACCTCGAATCATATTAAGATGCTATGAAGTGAAAATCGCTGCATGTACGAAAAGATTTCAATTTCAAGCTAGTCATATTATATTCTCGTTGGAAAAGCCAGTCAAAGTGTGGTGTTTATGGAAACTAAGCAGAGGGTTGGGATCTGACTGGAACCAAGGCAAAACCTCTAAAGGTGGGGATTTTGAGCCTAGTGACCCCCCCCCCCCCCCGAGGCTTCTGACAAGTTGAAAAAAAAGCATTTTTAATACACAACGCGTAAATTTTTAGATTGAAAACGGTGTATTCTAATATAGATTTTGCATTTAGATGACAGCCTTGGTACAAGTTGAAACTCGGGGAATTGCATGTAAGAACTATTATTTTTACCAAGCCGATGTGAATATTATAAATCTGAGCATCGATTTTTTTTGTGGCATGGATATTGAAAATTGATGTCACACAGTCACAGTGGTCACTGAATAGTGGTTGTGAATATCATATTTTTGAAAAAAGATGTGACAGTCAGCAGTGATAGCTTTCTTTGTATCATATACTTAAATGATTATTGGTGGCATGAGTTACAAAATTTAAGGTTTGCATCACTTTTCACAACGCGCTTTATTCAAGTATAGTTTGCAACCTGTGTTATATAAAACAACCCAAAATGCAAAGGTCTTAGAAATATTAATTACAGAAACAAATGACTGTCAATAATAACTAGAGTATCACTTGTACAGAATTTAATACTAGTATATATATAGAGAGAGAGAGAGAGAGAGAGAGAAAGATTACAAGCATTAATATTGACTTCATAATGATGTTGAGTATAACCATATATTATTTTTACTGTGTAATTCAATAAATCTGATTGGTTTTGCGTGATATCACAGGCCCGTAGGAAGCAATTTCAGTTTGTTTGTTTTTTTTGGGGGGGGGGCATTACCAAAATTAAAAAAATCCTTGACAAGCAAAAAAAAAAAAAAAAGAAAAAAAAGGAGGCATCAAATGTTCTTATTGAGGGGGCACAAGCATATAGTAGCTATGTTTTCTATAGTATTCTATATATTGGCAAAATTATTGGGAGGGCACTTCCCAGATGTGTTTAGAATAGTGAAAAGTCTTTAAAATAAGGATTTGTCTCTTTTTTCCCAAAGAAAATAATATAACAAATGTAGCTCTTTGAATTGGTCAATCCTTAGATATATCGACTTCACAGAAAAGCACATGGGCTTCCCACTCTGTGCTAAGTCAAAATGCTTTTCTGTGAAGTTAATATAATTTAATTTTGTTTGTATTCTAGCCTGTGATTGGTTAATATCCAAAAAGGAACACAAATTATTTCTGTATAACCTGGTTTGGTATGGGGACACCCCCCCTTGACAACCAGCTGAATCATCTGTATCCATACAATCCTCTCATTTCCAGTCCTCGGGATTCATGGAAAATTCCAGATTTAATAAATGTACCTTTAATTTCAAACAATAATTCGATCTTACCACATGTAACCAAACAACATGGCTGCTAGGCCTATGTATCAGTTTTTACCTCCCCTCGATTCCCATCACTTCCGTTACTTCCGTTACTATGGTTGTATTATTGAGCGGCAAATTTGAACTAATAAAAAGTAACGAAATTTTACAACCATAGTTATTTAATGATTTTAAAATTAAATTATAAGGAATGACTCTAATTCTTGGCCAAATTATTCGAGTATAACCTGGTTTGGGTCAGTTTACGCTGTTTTATAATCCGCTTCGTGGATTATAAAGCGTAAACTGACCTAAACCAGGTTATACTCGAATAATTTGGCCAAGAATTAGAGTCATTCCTAAAATATATCTGTAGATTGACCTCATTAAAGTTCTATATTGTATAATATTAGTCCATACTAATCAACTCAGAGTAAAATTGTATGACACTCATAACTGTATATCATACTTTATTGAATTTTATTCATGAGAACTCTAATTATGCAAATTATGAGATTGTCCTTTTTGATGAACAAAATATATGTATTTCTCTTCAGTAACAGGATAAAATAACCTTAATACTAAAAAAAAAAGTAAATAAAAAAAAAACACATGGTAATATTCAATCAAAATTAAGTTTTGTGAAATATACAATTAAATTTGCATTCTATCAACTAATATTCTAGTGAAATTACAAAATTTCAAATCACATATTATCAGATTTTAAATTCTATAGACATCTGACAATCTACAACCTTGGAATTTTACCTAAGAATTGTGTGATGGAAGATCATAAAAGCAAATCTCAGACCCATAAAAGTATTTATAAACGAACATTCCTCTGAAATATTTTTAGAAAAAATATAAAAATAAAAGAAATTATCTCTGATCATCAAAAGGAACATTTAACAATTAAGTTGCATCTTTCACTGACATTTATTCTAATGAGCTATCCAACATACAACAATGGAGTGTCCTCCTTCAATTAACACATAAATTCTTGAGGTACAAATCAATGAGGATTGTTAAGTTGCTTGCATTGCAAGTCTTTAAGATTTATTATAAACACAGTTTTAAATATGGAACTCCAAACAATCTTATTAAAAAAAAAGAACATTTTTTATATTTAAAAATATATTAACACAATATTTAATATAGCCCGGAATGTGCACCATAATTATACAATACAATGCAACCATATTCCTGTCTGTTTAGACTAACAGAAACTGGACATGAAAGCATGAATGTTTATGTTATGTCTATATCTATTCTAGTCAGAATACTCCACATAGCTATACACATAATAATGTACTGCTTTACACCAATCTTGGTTTTGCACATTTTTATTGCTTTACTGTAACATTAATCTTTCAAGAAAATGCATTGTACATGTACAGTATCCGTGGAATACTGTTTGGCATAATCACGCTGGATCTGTCATCCAAATTAAAAATAGATGCATCCATCACTCTGTCTCTTGAATCTTCAAACTAATCTCTCCTGACCTTTGCCCTTGGTTTCTTTGGTGTCATCTCCACACTATCTCCTTCATTTTTCCCAAGAAGTTCTTGAACAAACTTAAATTTTGATAAGAAAAGTTTCCATACTAGATACCATCCTGTAAAGAAGCAATATACCTTTTAAAATTTCTTCCTCATACTTTTTATTTTTTTGATCGCTCATGCTATTGCAATCTCATATATATCGAAGTCATCTATAGCGACACTATACTTTAGCGCGTTTTTCTGGGGATTGGTAAAGTAAAGTCACTCCGTAAAATTACCAAAAATGTGAACTAAATGAAGCAAAAACATTTAAAGTGGTGTTATGACTTACGGTTTAAAAAGCCATCCCCCTTTTTGGTTCAAATATAGAATGCCATATGTATATATAAAGAACAGTGACTAGTATACTGTGTTTGCTAACAAGCAAATGCGAGTACAAAGCAGCCTACTGGCGATTTTCTTAATGTATAAGCACCATATTAAGACTGAGTCACTTCTTCAGTTCTTGTACTTCATAGAAAGATGCATGTGCTTCAGTAACAATAACAATACACTAATCACACTTGGCATGGAACATAAAACAACAGTAATATAGCAGCTGAACCATAAGAACTTACCACAACCAATAAAGAGTATAACTGCGATCAGTGCGACAGCAATAGTGAAAAAAGTAAGTAAAACTTCTAACACATCAGCCATGAATCAGCTGATAGCAGACATCCGGAAGTACAAAGATATCCGCAGAAAATGCTACAAAATGTGTAACCTTAACTGTTGTCTCTTCTATTTTTATTTCCTTTTGTATATATCATTATAGCCCAAAATATTAAACATTGGGTTTTTTTTGGTCATTCTTTATAAATTTAATAGTAAGTCCGATACTGCCATTTGGAAAATAATAATCATCATGGCGCTTGCCGATGTCTGTGGCTTGAAAACAAACCAGTTTAAAAACGGACTTCTCAGCGATTTCGGGGGAACACCATCACATTTATTAAGCGATGTATTGACAACAACAAACAACTTTATTGTACCTTATGGCATTGACGTAAGAGAACAAATTATGAGTTAATTATCATTGCTGCATTCTCATTCAAGAATTCGAATTTCCTCAATATTTCAAAATGTAAATGAACTGTGAGATTTTAATTTTGTTTATTTTTCAGCCGGTAGAAAGTGTGAAAGAATTTACAAATCCCAATAGTGATGTCAAAATACATTTTGACCATGGAACTACAACTCTTGCTTTCAAATTTCAACATGGTGTTATTGTTGCCGTTGACTCAAGAGCCACAGCAGGACCATCTATAGGTCTTTTTCTTTTTAAAAAATTATTTTCATTAAGTTTGTAACAATACGTTAATATGTTTTGCGGTGACACTGTTGGGGCAAGGGTCAGATAAAAAATCTAACTGTGTCTCTGGACAAGCCCTCACCACAGTTAGAATATGTCCCATATACTTTCAATGTAGCAAATCGGAGTGGATCCACTTCGAAATGATTTTGAAGAATACAAAAGGAGTTGCACTGAAAATAACTACCAAATTAATCATAACAAACCTTTTTGAGATTGTATATGCCTTTTCACCTTAAAAATAATCCATATAAATACGAAAATTTAAATCATTTTGTCAACGTTTTTTCCTCGCTTCAAATTTAACGCCATGTTGACATTAGGAACTCTCTGGATTGTTCATAGAAAATGCACAGAGTTCTATCGCCCGTGTTTATTTTGCAACATTGCCAATACACGGAACAAATTCAATCGTTAAACCAGGTCCGTAGGACAATATCATTTTAACGATAGAATGTTCTATCTAGGGCAAGGGCAGTTGTATACCACTGGTTGTATATCATTAGTTAGAATAATCTAACTGTGTCTTGGGACAGGCCTTCACCACAGTTAGAATGCCTCCCATATACCCGTAATGTAGCAAAAAATTGCAGAATCGCTCCGAAACGATTTTGGAGAAAATTAATGAAGTTGCATTGAAAATAACAGTCAAATTAATCATAATGAACCTTTTTGAGACTGTAAATACCTTTTCTCTAAATATTTAATCCATATAATGGAAGAATTCAACACTTTTTCACCAACGTTTTTTACTCGTTTCAAATTTACACACCATGTTGACATTCGGAACTCTCAGGATTTTTCATAGTAAATGCACTGAGAGTTATCTCCTGTATTTTCTTTGCTACATAGACAATACACGGAACGCTTCTATCATTAAACCGGGTCCGTAGGACATTTATCATTTTAACGATAGAACATTCTATCTAGTATACCATAAAAAAAACCTTTACACAGCTTACACTTTAAATTTTGATCAGCCTCTTCAAACTTCAGACCACACAAGACAGTAGACTGTGACTTCACAAGAAGTTGTATATAAGTTGCATTTCTGTAAATTTTGCAATTTGTAATGAAAGGCATTGTAGAGTAGATGCAATTATTTTGTTTTGTTTAAGTTCTCTGCTAGAACTAAATCTTAATACATGTTAACTGCAGGTCTCTTTGTTCATCATTATCGCTTGGAATCCTGGTAGCAAAGGAATTCTGGGAAGGTTTCACAGAAAAATTTGCTTGACGAATTTACAAATTTTTATTAGAATTTTCTCTGTTCTTACGCATTAGTCTATTGAGCTCACTTTGCCAATGGTGCTTCGCACTTTTCGCTGCACTCACTATGAAATACTAGTCTGAAATTTCTGACGTTTTCCAAGTGTATTTCTTGATTTTGATATTTAACATGCCAATGAAGTGACGGAACCAAGGCCATTATGAAAATTGAAAAGTGGCCGCCTCCAACCAGAGGCATTATCCTGTCGATTTTCAACATGTGAACGGAATTAAATGTGTAATTCACATCTTATCAACAGTACAATGCTTCTAGTTTTGCCAATATCGCTCTTATTGTTCATGTGTAATATAAAGTGTCTGGTGAAAAGTGTCGATGTTTGTTTTATCAAGCTGTCAAGGTTTGTTTTGATTTCGTGCATTTTAAAATCTCATGAGACCTGAATCAGAATGTAGAGCCTCAGGGATATTTTCTTTTAAGCAATATTGGTGAGAACTAGAAGCATGGTGCTATTGATAAATTGTGAATCTGACATTTTAAAATTCGATTTGCAAGTTTCAAAAATCGAGTTCAATTTGGGGTGGTGAAATTTCCACTTTTCATTTCCTGTAGTGCCCAATGTTCAAATACAATGAAACCTGTCTAATCTGACATGCACTGGAAGACCAATTTTGTGTGGGGATAGGGTGTGGGATTACATAGTCTAAAGAACATAGAAAACAGTCAAATGGGAATGAAAAATGAAGGTCAACATTCACAGTGAACGGGTTGCATAGGTGTTGGATTAGACAGTTTTCACTGTATTGCATTCAGTTGATAACAGTAAGAAGTTTCCAGTAGTAGAATTTTGTAGAATTTCTGGTAAAAGCACCCTGTCCTAATTGAAAATTAACTCTTATTTTCCCCAAAGTTAAGTAAAAATTCCCAAAAGATAAACAGAGTGAATTTTTCAATGCTTTTTACATGTTCAAAAAACTTGAATTTTGAGATTAAAATGATCTTAAAGATGTGAATAGGAAATCAGCCTTCAATCTAACTCTTTGTCAACTTAATATAAGACATCAATACATGTATTTCCAAATTTTGCCACTTTTTCAATTTAAAATTCCCAATTTTAAGGGTACAGTACCCTGTACCAAAGGGTCAGTTAAGCCATGTAGGCAGGTAAGACCACAAGTTAAGATTCAGTGCATATATTTTGCTTCATTTTCTGCATTTAAAAGAAAAAAAAAAAAAACTTGGAAAAGATGTGTCATTAATGTTTTCCAGAATCCCAGACAGTAAAGAAAGTGATTGAAATAAATCCTTATTTACTGGGAACCATGGCTGGTGGGGCTGCTGACTGTGCATATTGGGAGAGGGTATTGGCAAGACAGTGTCGGTAAGTTGAACATATTTTATAAGTTTATCTTATCCAGGGTTGTCCCTAAGACCCGGGGAATTTCCCTGCTTATAATGCCGTAATCCCCCGGTTATTTTGGTATTCCCCCTAAACTCATCATTGGAGGAGGAACCCCAGACCCCCTTATACTTTTTTAATGCCCCTTCTATTTCAAGTTTTAGAGAGAACCCTGCTTATCTCCCTAATATTTTACAATGTTTACACACCTAGGTACTTACTAGGAATAGTAACTGATGAGAATACATATATCTTCTGAATAAATAATTAATTATACCCCCATAAAGCTTTTCTTGGGGGCGGGGGGGGGGGTATAATATCGTGTCACTGCATCCATTCATCTGTCTGTCTTTATGTCTGTAGAAACAAGGTCAAATGCTAAATGTTTAGGTCCAGCTGAAAATGCTTAGGTCTTTTTCAGGCTTATTTGAGGAAGTATCCAAACTTGCAGATATGATGCATCTTTAGATACTAGTATGATGCATTTTTGATGTCCCTTCTCTGGATATCAGTTCTGTGAAGCAATTCTTGTTGTATATTGTCTTGTAATATAATCATTCTGTGTATAATGTCAATACATGTATCTTCCTCCATACTGCTGTTAGATAAAAAGTAGTTGATTGATCAGAGCTTCCAAATTCAAAATTTAAAACAAGTTAATAGTTATGAAATGTATACATACATAATATTTGCAAATCATATAAGTTGGAGGGAAAAAACTCTCTTTAAAATATAGTATAATTGCTTTCTGAATTTTATAAAAATTGAATTAAATGTATGTGTTATGATTGGTTATGCAGTCTATGATCACTTTGACATATTAGTTTGAAAAAAAATCCTTTATTTATCTAGAACAAATATTACTAGAAAATTGCTTACATATTTTTAGAATATACGAGTTACGGAATAAGGAGAGAATATCAGTAGCTGCAGCATCCAAATTATTGGCTAACATTGTTTACAACTATAAAGGAATGGGACTGTCTATGGTAAGTTTTATTCGAATTTAAAATTTATTCACACACAGCATATCAAACCCATTCATCTGCAGAAGGTGGACTTAGTTGTTTGTTATTTTGTCCTAATAAGCAATTCAAATTTTAACTGTTTATAATAGATATTTAAATTAGAGCTCTCTCATTATGAAGTATTGATTTTTTTAATGTATTTTTATTCATGAATTTTTATATTGTAGGGAACTATGATTTGTGGATGGGATAAAAGGGTAAGATTTTATAATATTTCCTTTCCTCAATAACAACTTGAACTGTCTTGAAGCTAAAGTGAACTTTTGTCAAATACACACTCTACACTTTCTTTTATTAATTCTGATAATCTAAAATGAAAATGGGGTCTTTTTATGAACCTTTTGAATTGTGGTGTTCTTGCATGTAATCCTGTCCATACTGCAACTCAAAATTCATTTGCCATATTGTTCAAACAAGTTAAACAAATTAAACTGAAAAACTGTGCAGAAATATCATTAGTTAGAATATCTGTTTCTTTGGACAAGCCCTCACCAAATCTGGGTGTGTAGTACGATATCATTTAACGATTGAATGTTCTATCTAAAATACCATTTCTTTATTCTCTTTAATTCCACTATTTAGATCTTTTATTAGTAATTGTAAGCCAAGATATCAGCTGTTAAGAGTTTGAATTTTTTTACATTACAGGGACCTGGTCTTTACTATGTTGACAGTGATGGAGAAAGAATGTCAAACAATATTTACTCAGTGGGTTCTGGGTCAGTTTATGCCTATGGTGTTTTAGACAGTGGCTATCGTTACGACCTCTCAGTAGAGGAAGCTATTGACTTAGGGAGGAGGTCAATCTACCATGCTACCCATAGGGATGCATACAGTGGTGGAGTTGTTAACTGTAAGCACACACTAACTCTTGAAAAAAAAAAAAACCATGATGTAATAATACTTGGTTTATGCAAGTTTTTACCTTAAAATTTCAATCATTCAAAATCAAACATTTCTTTGGTACTAAGTATTTTATTTATGTTCCTTCGAATGAATTTATTTCAACTCCATTTATCTTGTTGTGTACCATTTGAAGGAAACTGAATCAAAATTTATATCTCCTTTAGAATGATATGATTTTATTATCTACATGTATCTTGTTGTGTACCATTTGAAGGAAACTGGGTTGAAATTTATATCTCCTATAGAATGATATGATTTTATTATCTATCTTGTAGTGTACCATATGAAGGAAACGGGATGGGAATTCATCTCTCAGACAGATGTGTTTGATCTCCATTATCAGTACCAGGCCGAGAAGAAGTAGAGACAAAATATTAATCTATACATAAAAGTGCTACCTGAACATTGCATCATCTCATGATATTGAAATCATGCTTAAACTTTAATATTTTCATTAATAATAATAAATATCTTCATTAAAAATGAATTTACTGGATTTATTGTGTCTGATACCTTTGAATTTCTCTCAGTACAGCTGATAAAATAAATAGATAAATTCAGTACTTTGATCATCTTTGCACTCTGTTTCCACAGATATACAATGGATAGTACAGAACATAATATCAATAAGTTATTTGGATTAATGCACTACAGTAATGTATTTTATGATTTTGGTAATCAGCATTAATTAATATTCAGCTGCAATGTGTTTAGAAAAGTTTTGGGGGTATATATGCATCATGGATTGTAAATGAGAAGCATTGGAAGCTCAAGCTTGACACAAATATTGCTGATGACTTTAAAATATGTCATAACATAGGCCCAAGGTTATTTTATCAAGTTCAAGGTCTTTTTTTTTTTACAAACTTTGCTGTATCTTGTAATGGCAAAATATTAGAAGTTCATACTTGAAACAGAGATTATGATCTGATGGTTCAAAGAGCTAGGTTCACTTTATGCATAAAATGGCCCTGTCCTTGTATCAATTAATTGACTATCACCCTCTGTCCCATTTCATATATATCAAAATAAAGTAGAAACTTAGTGCTTTCATTTCCTATAACAAAATTTATTTTTGAGAATCCAGGTATTGGAAAACAGGCTTTGAGAAAATGTAATGTTCTTGAATTTTGCAGAAAACGTGTACATGTATTTGACTACCTTCAGCAAAGAATTAAAATATGAGCACAGCCCACAATCCAAAAACTAAAACATGTTTTGTGATCTTCAGAAACAGATCTTTCATCATGTAATTGCATATTTTGGATCAGAGGTTTTGCTCTATATGAAATATTGAAAAAATACCTCAACTTTTGGCTATTTGTAAGGGAATTTACAGGATATGGGAAGAATGACACATTTTATGACATCACAATACATTGACTAGAGAGAAAATTACGTCATGTTCATATAGATACATGGTCACCAAGGGTCCAAGTTATAAATACTGCATTTTCCACCAAAACTGAGCAGTTTCGATTTTTCAGAAATTCTCAGGGCCAAAAAAGGCCCTGAGTGGCTCTTGCTCCTTGCTTGAAAAAAAGTGTATAAATTGTGCCAAGTCCATAAGTTTCTATTGGAGAATCATTGGAAGCTCTTACCTCATTCAAAGAATCAGAGGGTGTGTCTTGACTTGTGCACAAGTTTAAAGTCACTTTCAGAAAAATGTACAATACAGCCCTGGCCATATTTTGTAACGGAAAAATATTGGAAGTTTGTACTTGCCACAAGGATTTCTATGACCTATGGTGTGGTGTATTCTTGACTCAGGTCGTTTGGCAAATACAAGGTCATAGGTACAAAGTGAAAAAAATATGTCTATGGCACATAACTTTCTATGAGAGACACATCGAATGCAGCAATTGAAAAAAAAATGCAGTGAGGAATATCATTTTGTGAGCTTCCTCACAGTACTTCTAGTAAATGGCTGACACAGATGCACCATTTTGCCCACTTGCAGAAGGAAAAAACTGTAAATATCAGACTGTTGAGGTTAACATTATATACTAGGGATGAAATGATTTGCATAAAACATTTTTGATGACACCCCCACCTCCTTTTAAAAAAAAAGGGCATATTGGTTTGGAATAGTCGGTCAGTCTTTACATTTGTAGACTGAATGTTTCCCCCTCAATGTCTTTGAGAACCAATTTGCTTGATAGACATCAGCCTTGGTACACTGGTACCCCCTGAGGAGTAGATGTCCCCTACTGATTCTGAGGTCCAAATGACTCTTGGACATAAGACTTTATAATGTCCACTGCAGATGGAGATATTTTTGTGGGGATAAAATTTTGTTTTGATCTAAAATTATTCTTTGGGGATTTAATGCCTTTATTTCAAAAATAATAATTTCTGGGTGCAAATTATGTACTGGTATAGAGGGATTCAATTTGGTTGATAAATGGTATGAACAAAGGACAAGATAGGCTTAGACCCCTTTTTGGCCCCTGGTTTGGGGTGTCTTTTAGAATGATGCAACACTTTATCAATAAAAACTTGCTGTCACCCCTGCCACTAAATAACTATTGGTTCTAAGTTATGGGATACACAGAGGTCACAGGAAGGTCAAAAAATATGCCATTTTCCGAATTTTCTCATTTTTATGCAATTTTTTATCGATTTTACAACACATTTTGTTTCAGAAAACATAGAGGACAAGCTTGCCTATCTGCCAAATTTATATATTTCATACACTAGCATCAGATGCATCTTATGTATAAAAATCACAGATAGGCAAGCTTGTGCTCTATGTTTCCCGAAGTGAAAAGTATCTCAAATGTGACGAAATTCCACCAGAATTGAGGAAATTGTCCTACTTCTGCACCCTCTTGTGGCCTTCATGTAAGCTTTAAATCAAAATTGGTGCTGGTTTTAAAACAAGCATCATTTTAAGTTCCTAACTACAAACTATCACAATTTTAACTGTGTTCTGATTTTTACATCAAATAAGGGGCCAGATTCGGCCGTTACCATACCTTGTCCAAATGCTAAACAAATAATTTCAACTTTCACAGTTTATTAACTAAACTTTTAATACCGTACTGTTCAGAAATGAAAGATTTCAAACGCTTTGCAGAATATTCTGCACAGACTTGTCCAGTGCTTTGTTATTATTAGGAACTGTTATTTTTCTTTACACACTGTAATACAATGTACCACTTTGAAGAGTTGTTTCAAAGAGGGATGTTAAATATTAATGCACTCGGAGAAATAATGGAGTGAAAGCCTTTATTCACATGTACAAGTAAAATAACACATAGTTCAACCAAAATGTCCCTTCATCACCACTGCGGGAATATTTTATTTCCTGATCGGGCTACTGGTATGATTTCCTGGCGTAATTCTAGAGGAAGGTGTTTTTCTACGAGGTGGGTCAGTGATGTTGTCTTGGTGATAAACTTCTGCCTATCATACAAATAAGGAAAAAATGTTGCTTAGTAAATTACAATGTACTCACATTAAACAACATTGAAAGTCCTTTTAATGCCACGGTGAACTGCATGTAAATATAAAAGATATTATGATTTTTTAATTGGGGAATAGACTTTTCCATCAAGTTAAACTGAGGGTTTTATATAACAAATTGTAGGTACATGTACATGTATTTAATTTTTTTTTTTTTTACACATGAATAAATTGGCATGTACACATGTATAGTGAGATATTTGATATAAGTGAGAAACTGGTTTTTAAAATGGCAAAAGCTATGCATGTATCATTTCACAAATACTGCCAAAAATTAATTAAAGCCTAAAGTCAGGCACACAGCTACAAACCTTTTAAGAAGCAGTTCGACATCTCTCTCATCAATAGTTCTTCTCCCTGCATGATGAGCAAATGCTTCCAGATCACTGGCAACTTGGTCAAAATATTCCTCTGTTCTGAAAAGTTCAAAATATCTTAACTGTAGTATATTTAACAAATTTTCCTTAGACTTGCATTCTGTATTCTTTTGGTCACTACTTGACATTCAAGTGCTTTGAAAATAAAGAACATTTACAGGAAAATGTTAATTTCATCAGTGATCCATAAATTTTTCTAATAAATTCTATTAAATGCTTAATTCTTCATTAGAAAAAAAAATGTATTCCATACATTTTAACAAGCTCAGGTAGTGTATCTTTATCCACTCTCATCTTACAAAAATGACTGAAAGTCTGTTTAATGGTAGATGCTGGGAGAGTGCTGGACTGCACCTTCACTCTTGGTTTCTTCAAAGTTTTTGACCTTCAATAACAATAAACAGAAAATTAATTTGTCAGTAGATTTTAGCATACTGATCATGTTAAAAATTGATTTTTCTACATGAGCTATATCTCTAGTGACCTTTGTGTAATTACAATGTTTTAATTAAGGATACACCAAAGGTTTCCAAATGCCAGAATTTAATTGGCATGTAATTCTTTCATTATCAAAGATAACATAATAAAAGTATATATCATTTGAAAGCTTGTTAAATTTACTATTTAATTATCCTAATTTAAACTTTAATTAATAACTTATTCAAAAATTATTTAAATATTAATGTAAATTTTAGTGCTTGAATATTTTATAAATCAACTTTTTTGCATTTAACCCCTCAAAGTGGTCATTTTACCTCAAGGTAGACTAAAGATTGAACTTAAAAACCGTATCTCAGATTTTTGATAAATCTTCTAATTCAAAAGTTACAGCCATTTGTCCTTCAATGTTACCAATTTATTAGCCTAATTTAACATTTCCCTCAATAATTCCAAAACTAAGCTAGATATCAAAAATCTGAGATACGGTTTTGTTAACACACATTTGAGAAGCAACCCATCCAATTTTCAGAGAAATTGGTCCATAAATAAGGGAGCTGAATCCTTTGAAATAATACCACAAACTGTCTGATCTTACTTTACAGTAGAGGGCAAAAACCCATTACACAACAAAATCTGCCAAAGCTAGGAATATATGACACCTTGGAGATTCAGCTTTGGATACCTGTCACTTAGCCATATTTCCTATGCATATTCACAAGAATGGGAGGTTCTTTTCTGTATTTAGATGCTTTTAATTAAGTATAATGGGTTCAATTCTGAATCAGAAAGATTTCCCGGCAAAATGGCAAGAGCTAAGCTCCACCTCCTATTTTATGGTCATCAGTGATCTGTTAGATCTCTTTCTCTTAATCTAGAGTCCCTGTAGTTTAATTACTGATAACCTCTGTGTGGCTAGTGAAGAATTCCCCAAGTGGTCACAGTGATTTATTGCGTCTTTCATGAGCAGGCAGTCACAGATCAAATCAGAAGCTTCAATAACGGAACATTCACATGTGGTAGTGTTTATGTTTCATTATTGTTAAATAATTTGAAAACCATTTCATAATTACCAAGAATTTTACATGCATTATAAAGCAGTGATTAACTTCTTTTTCTTGGCCAAAAATCTCAAAATTGTTGAAAATCTTGAAAAAAGCCTTTGGTGTATCCTTAAAACTGTTTCATCATTAATGGACCTTACTTGACTGCAGGTTTTTTCTTCAGAGTTTGTGTGATAGGGGAATCAGTAGGGGAGTCAGATGGAGAGGGGATATGAGGTCTGGCTGGTCCCAGGTGGGGAGTTTTAAGTCGAAATAACTCAGTTCTGTCAAATTCCTAAATAGCAGAATTCAAGATAAAATTCACACAGGAAGCAAAAATGCAAAGCATGAACAATTTCTTCATTCTTCATTCATGTGATTAATTACATTTTGTATAGTCTAAAGCCAGTACAAATAATAATTTTTTTTGCTTACATCTTGAAAATCTGTTCTTCCCTGGTGTTCAATCATGGAAACATCTGCAATTACAACTATCTATTTTATAATATAGAAACTCTCAAACATGAATCAGTATTTTTTTTATAAAATAAAAAAAAAGATACCTTTTGACTGAAATGGACCCTCAGCTTACTTTTAGCATTACATGTACATATGTACACAATGCTACATGTACAAACACCTACCTGGTAAGTTTTCATCTCCAGTCATTGAGATGTGATGAGTTCTAGATAGAGGACTGGAATGTCTGGGTCCCAGTGCTGTACGCTCAAACACGGGGGTCATCACTGTCTCCTTGCTAGTTGTATCATGCATTAGGCTTCTTTTGTTTATTGGTTGTTGCATGGCTAATGGTGATCTGTCCGCAATGTTTTTCATTGGAGATGAGGTTGGTCTTGGACTCCTTATATCTCTCTGTTGTCTTGGTGTTGTATTTTTTCTTGATGGGCTTTCGATCTTAGATGGGCTTCCTATCCTAGATTGTGTGAGGATCTTACTTGCAGACATTTTGACCCTCTGAAAGTCTGCAGATCGTAGACTTTTGTTTGGAGTTCTGTTTTGAAGATTCTGGTTGCTGCTTTTATCAGGTGTCCTCACCAAACTTGCTTCTTGTCTGCTACTTGTTAACATTGTAGATGGAAATTTTATTGCACTTCTAGCTGCTTCATTTAGACTGCTGTCTTTCCTCGGTGTCTCCATTAGGTCCTCACTCTCACCAGAAACTTCTTTTCTGTTTCTTTCACTTGAAGAAACATTGGCAGACAAAGCATTTTCTGCATTCCAATGCTTCTGGGTGTTCGGTCTCAGAGGCATATTCTCTGTGTCTAATCTAGAATTTTCTGCAATTTCTAAAAATATTCACAAATCAAAATTTACAATATTAAATACTGGTCTACAGATCTTACAATAACGGTGCAACAAATAATAAGACATGTAAACCTACCATTACTAGCCTCAGTTTGCCACTTGCTTGGAGTTCCTGTCAGGTTCCTTGTTTTGGAGGATGAAGTAGCTATGGCTGAACTGCGAAGTGTTCTTCTTGGTGTGGATTGCAAAGTGGCAGATCCTTCCTCAGATAAATCCTGCTGTCTTCCAGCTGATTGTGATGGCGTCTGAGCAACAGGTGTGTTTTGTTTCCTTGGTGATGCTGTTCTGGGTGAGGATCTTAGGATAGTAGGTTCAATCTCTTTCCCAGATAAAGAAGACCGACGGCTTGTTGATGATCCTGGAAGAGGGGATGCAACATGTTGATTTTTGGAAGACAGCAAGTTGCCACTTTTATTTTGCATGGGTGACGTAGTTGAAACCTCCCGAACTGAGAAATGAAACCGACTTCTTTCCCTCCTTGTTTTCACTTTGGCAGAGATTTGAGAATCATCGACAGAGGCTGATGATAGTTCCTGACTTATTGACATGCTTTCCATCTGAGTTGCTATTCTTGGTGATTTTCTTCTGGGTAACCCTGACCCCTGGCTGATTTCCTGTGTGATCTTGCTCTGACTGCTTGATGGTGAGTCTGTATAGGATTTAGATAATTCTTTTACTAAATATAACTTTAAAGGTATCAATGATGTCTTTCCATGATAAAGCTACTGTTTTATCAAAGGTTAGACATTTTTAGCTGCAGAACTGTAGCGTCATGGTTTTATATTTTATTCTTTGACCATAATGCTACAGATCCCGTAATGCAAATAAATATGCAATTTATGGTGCAAGATTTTCTGAGCACTTTGGGGATGCATTTCTCCATTTTCCAGCATTGGACCATCAAAATAACTTTCATTCCCTAATTCTAGACATATTCTATTACCAACCAGTATATTTCATCCACCTCCTAACCCTTTATAGTCATCTCTAAAAACCAATAAACTCTCTTGTTTTTTATTTTTTGTCGGAAGGCAGAAAATTCAAAACAAACGAGTTTATTGGTCTGTAGAGACGATTAAAAGGGTCTGGAGGTGATTAAAATATACAGGTTGGTAACAGAATATGTCTAGAATTAGGGAATTAAAGTAGTAGATTGTCCAATGCTGGAAAATGCAGAAATACATCCCTAAAAAGCGCAGAAAATCTTGCGCCGTAAATTGCACCATATTTGTATTACAGGATCTGTAGCGTTATGGTCAAAAACTAAAATATAAAACCAAAACCCTACAGTTCTGCAGGGCTAAGACATTTTATACACATTCTTTCCTTTTCTTGTACCTGAGTGTTGAAAATGGAATCTCTTTCGTCTAACAGAATCTACCAATGACTCTCTTTTCTTCCACATAGATCTTGTTTTTACTGGTGTGCTTTCATTCATCTCACTGTAATGATATATATTCAATCAAATATTAGGTAAAACTGCTTTTGAATATATAAGCAGTTAATGGAATTTTAATGATTTGATACATTGTTTTAACAGTTATATTTAAATATCAAATTTTATTGTTACTGAAAGACAAATATTAAAAATATTGTAATTCTAAATGTCAGTATATAACTTAATTTCACAAAGAAGATTTACTGTGTCATGTCTTCATCTTGTTGGTGTAGTCGGATTTCTGTGGAAGGCAAGGATCGACTAAGCCTGCCATCAACCTCTGGGGTTCTTGTCAAATGTCTTCGCTTCCTATTGGGACGCTCTGTCTCATTTGTTTGTGCAGCATCCATGAATCCTTGGATAATAGTCCTTGGGGTAACTTCCTCCATTCTTGTCTAAAAAACATTTAAAATAATCAGCAAAGGCAACTATTTACAGTGATTGTTACTTAATCCACAATTCCTCTAATACTTACTGATTTTATATTCTGACATGTTTGGGGAAAGAAAGGGTGGACACCATGCTGAAAACCTAGAATTCAAAACCAACCACCTACCAGCACAACTTTCCTTATGTCTTGCCTTGTTATTGAAATGTCCAATTGATTGAGGCTCGGTAGAGAAACAAATAAGCATTTTGCACTGTTTAAGCACTGATCATGACAAATATCCACCTAGCCGCTGTTTCATATGATTTTCAATTGTTATTGGTGATCAAAGATCATGGTGTGCAAATCAGCAATCATGAAAAATTCTGCTATTGAGACTCTAAGGTCTGGTACTTCAATATAAGAATGCAAGAGGTATAACAAGATGTGTTTGTGAAACACTGATGCCCCCATATGGCAGCTTATGGCGAAGGTTAAAGTTTCTTCAAATGCAAGTCAAAATCCAGGCCAAAAGATAAAAAATGTTGATACCCAAAGAAAGGTCTTGTCTCAAGGAATACACCTGTGAAATTTGAAAGACCTAGATACAACTGTTCAAAAGTTATGGCAAAGGTTAAAGTTTTTTAAATAAAAGTCAAACGTCAAGGTCAAGGTCAAAGTGCTTGGTATCCAAAGGAAGATCTAGTCACAAGGATTACATATGTGAAGTATGAAAGCCCTAGCATCAACCATTCAAAAGTTATGGCCAAGGTTAAAGTTTTTCAAAAGGAAGGTCAAACTCCTAGGTCAAGGTCAAAGGGTCATAGTGGTTGATATCCAGAGGAAGGTCTTGTCACAAGGAATAGACATGTGAAGTTTGAAACCCTAAACACCACCTGTTCAAAAGTTATGGCCAAGGTTAAAGTTTTTCAAAAGTAGGTCAAACTCCAAGGTCAAGGTCAAAAGGTCAAAGTTGTTGGTATCCAAAGGAAGGCTTTGTCACAAAGAATACACATGTGAAGTTTGAAACCCCAAGCACCAACTGTTCAGAAGTTATGGCCAAGGTTAAAGTCTCATAAAATTTTGCAAAAGTGGGTCAAACTCCAAGGTCAAGGTCAAAAGGTCAAATATGATGGTACCCAAAGAAAGGTCTTGTCACAAGGAATACACATGTGAAATATGAAAGTCATAACTCCAACCAATCAAAAGTTATGGGCAAGGTTAAAGTTGACAACAGACAGACAGACAAACAGACAGACAGGACAAAAACAATATACCCCCGTGATCTTTCAATCCGGGGGCATAAAAACAAGAGGTCCATGGACCATATTGCTCACCAGAAAACTTTGGATAGGAAAAAGCAGGAATTAGTTCAGTACTGAAAAGTTAATATATAACTGGTCCCAACTTGGGGGGGGGGGGGCAAAGATTTGAACATACTTGAATCTACATTGACTGAGTATGTTCCATATTTCTTTCACTATTCATGGCTTTAGAAGATTTTTTAAAGATTTTTATGCCCTGGGATTGAAAGATCCCGGGGGAATATTGTTTTTGTCCTGTCTGTCTGTTTGTTCGTTTGACTGTCTGTCTGTTGTCAACTTTAACCTTGCCCATAACTTTTGATTGGTTGGAGCTATGACTTTCATATTTCACATGTGCATTCCTTGTGAAAAGACCTTTCTTTGGGTACCATCATATTTGACCTTGACCTTGGAGTTTGACCCACTTTTGCAAAATTTTATGACTTTAACCTTGGCCATAACTTCTGAACAGTTGGTGCTTGGGATTTCAAACTTCACATGTATATTCTTTGTGACAAGGCCTTCCATTGGATACCAACAACTTTGACCTTTTGACCTTGACCTTGGAGTTTGGCCTACTTTTGAAAAACTTTAACCTTGGCCATAACTTTTGAATGGTTGGAGCTAGGGCTTTCATACTTCATATATGTAATCCTTGTGACAAGACCTTTCTTTGGACACCAAACACTATAACCTTTTGACCTTGACCTTGGAGTTTGACCTACTTTTGAAAAACTTTAACCTTGGCCATAACTTTTGAATGGTTGGAGCTAGGGCTTTCATACTTCACATATGTAATCATTGTGACAAGACCTTTTTTGGATACCAACCACTTTGACCTTTTGACCTTGACCTAGGAGTTTGACCTACTTTTAAAAAACTTTAACCTTGGCCATAACTTTTGAATGGTTGATGCTAGGGATTTCATACTTCACATATGTAATCCTTGTGACATAACCTTCCTTTGGATACTAACCACTTTGACCCTTTGATCTTGACCTAGGAGTTTGACCTACTTTTGAAAAACTTTAACCTTGGCCATAACTTTTGAATGGTTGGTGCTAGGGCTTTCATACTTCACATATGTAATCCTTGTGACAAGACCTTCCTTTGGATACCAACCACTTTGACCTTGACGTTTTACTTACATTTGAAAAACTTTAACCTTCGCCCTAACTTTTGAACAGTTGCAGCTAGGTCTTTCAAATTTCACAGGTATATTCCTCGAGACAAGACCTTTCCTTGGGTACCAACATTTTTTATCTTTTGGCCTGGATTTTGACTTGCATTTGAGAAGCTTTAACATTCGCCATAAGCTGCCATATGGGGGCATCAGTGTTTCACAAACACATCTTGTTTTCCTATATATTTGATCTTTAATTGTGGCCTCTCCCTACCCCTGGGACTTGATTTGAACAAACTTGAATCTACACTACATGAAGATGCTTCTATATTAATATGACTATTGACTAACTGTGACTTTGCTGTTCTTGAGAAGATTTTTAAAGATATTTCCTACATATTCCTATAATATATAAATTTGATCCCCTGTTGTGGCCCCACCTTACCTCCAGGGGTCATGTTTTGAACAAACTTTAATCTACATTACCTGAGGATGCTTCGATATTAACATGAATAATCATAGCTTTGCTGTTTTTGAGAAGAAGATTTTTAAAGATATTTCCTACATATTCCGATGTATAACTTTGATCTCCTGTTTTGGCCCCAACCTACCCCTGGGGGTCAGATTTGTACACTGTCTGAGGATGCTTCTGTATTTAAAATTTTATTAATTATGGCCTTGCTGTTCTTGAGAAGAAGATTTTTAAAGATCATGAAGATATTTCCTATATATTCCTATGTATAACTTTGATCCCATGTTGTGGCTCCTACCCCCATGGGTCATGATTTGAGTAAACTTCAATCTGCACTACCTAAGAATGCTTCCATTTAAATATGACTTATCCATGCAGGCTTTATTGGTCCCAGGAAAAGGATTAATTTTTAAAGATTTTTTTTCATTATAAGTTTGATTGCCCATAGTGGCCCACTGGCCCCATCCTATCCCTAGGGGTCATGATTTGAACAAACTTTAATTTACACTATGTCAGGAAGCTTTTGTATTAAGTTTCATCTCATCTGGCAGACTGTTCCAGTGGTTCTTCAAAAGATTTTTAAATGACCCCACACAATTTTCACTATTTCTTAATGATCTCCCATTGAAAAAGGGTGAGGCCTTTCATTCAAACAGATCTGAATGCCTTTAGGCTTTACCCAAGAATATCGGTTAATGTAAATATAGAGTATATGCATGTATAAAAATTTTTTTTTATACATGCACATACTCAATATTTACATTAACTTCCAGTGCCCGTGGATACTTATAAAGGAATAACTTTTGGTTGTAACAAGTTTTTCTGTATGCCCACTTTTAGGAGATTCAGGGATTGATCCCTCAGAGGTTCCTGAACTTTTTGGGGATCAATCTAACAAACTGTAGAGTTGCAGAAAAACTTGCTTGCCAAAAGTTATTCCTTTTCAAGTATTTTATCCCAGACGGGTTATTCATCCCAACCTGTTAAATAGGTAAGTTTACTAGGTTCCCCCTGTGTTTATGGGTTATAACACAAACTCAAACAAAGGGCTATTGTGTACAGAAAATGATCTACCAGAGACCTAAAAACTTACATGCTACAACGTTTTTTTAAAGGTTGTAAATCAATGAAGATATGGTATCTCAAGCATTCACGATTCAGTCTTTTAAAATAATATATTAAAATATCCCGCTTGTTTATAAATATTACGTAATTTCCGTGAGCGCTCTTCTGTACGAAGGTCGTACGAATGCAAATCGTGTTATAAAAGATCGTCCTTAGAAAAAATAAAACATCCTCAGGAAACCCCATCTTCAAAAAGGAAGCGTTTTTTTCATATTGCTCCTCTTAACCCTATACACGTGTAACCTACAGTTAGATACCGATACCGTCCCGAATAGTTTCTTGGACGAGCTGAAATAAAATTTTCTGCGAAACTGTTTTGTTTAAAAATGGCGGTTTACGAAGTATTTGCACACCCAGAACTTCGTCGCTACAAAACTCATATATGCACCAAAGCTACGCTGTTGACGTTTGTTGTTTTATTTCTTGTGTTCATACCACCGCTTTTTGTTGTTTACAGGAGTTATGGTGAGAATTTAGCAAAAATTTTGACATTGGACAAGATGTGTTTTGTACTGAAGAAAGACATGCATGAACATGATGTTCATAATATTGTACCACATTAACGTCATTACTAGCCATTTAAAAGAACTACTTAACCGAATGTTTTAAATAATTTAAACTATCTGAATTCAGTTTTTCATTAGATTCTTTCAATACACCAAGGTGAACTTCCAAATGACTTTACATCAGTAAAAATATTCATCTTGAAGTTGGCGTCACTTACAGTAAAAAAAATTGCCAGACAGTTCCGAAGCCATTGATTTTACTCAATATATTCTTTAAAATTAAAAAACAAATGGGACTGAATGATAAATATTATATGTCATCGACATATATGTTAAATTATGATTGATGTGCATGCTACTGTTATTTTTGTAAAGCATCACTACAACATTTACCAATAAAGTGTCTTCTAAAAAAAAATGAGTATTTATCCCTAATACTGACATTACCACAAAAGAAAAAAAGTCGCATGCAGTGCGTAATTGTTTCCTCACACATACAAAGATTTTAATTTACCTTTGTAACCTTACTAACTATTATACAGTGATTTGTAGAAAAAAAAAATCAGTTCAATGCAACATTTTTTATCTGCTTGGTAAACATGAATACGAATGAATTAATGATGGGGGGGGGGGGGGATAATATCTTTGGAGATGTTGGACATTTAAGACTGACAATTCATGTTTTTGATTTTAATAGCACTGCACTGTTTATTTGTTTTCAATAGGATTTTGGAAGAAGGAAGAATATTACAGGGAGGTTCCTACCGTTTATTTTAAGAAGCAACTGCTTGTGATTTTTGAATTGGAACAGGAGGGGAATTTTATTACGTACAGCACATATCAAAGATACAATCAGTTGCAGCAACAGAATATAAGAGTACCTCTTATCCAGGTAAAGAAGTGTCATAGTCTGTAATTTGTTAGAATTGTATGTAATTAGAATTAAATTCAAGGATTCACAGATCTTTTATTATGAATTCTAATTATGCAAAACACATTAAACTTGATTTATTTCACCCGGTTGGCAAAATTTCATATATTATTTCATAAAATTATTTCTTGTGTAGCCAAGAGAGTTGTTAGAACCATATGTTTACATTTCATAAACTCAATTACTTTCATTTAAGTCAAGAGAGCCAGATGAAAATGGTGATGGGAAAGCAGATGGACTGGAATTTAAGTTAGAAATGCCACTTCAAGACTCGGAGAAGGTGGTTGGTGTAAAACTTCTTCTCTTCTTTGAATATAATCTGCATGTAAGTACATACTTTTAATAATAACTTGAGAGCCTATTTCAAATTTACTGGTACATTTTCTTAGTCACAATAATTAGTTATTACTCTGATTCACACTGATTTTTTTTTATTATTTACTAGAGGTTTTCCTCATTTAGTATGGAGTCCTTAGCCTACATTAACCATGACTCACCCAAAGCAGGAGCACGACTTGACGTTTATGGTGAACTCAATATAAGGCAGAAGCAGCCTCTAGGACACAGAGGTTCAGATACAAGATATAGTGTAAATAGTCATTATTATTTCTGAAACATTAACAATGTTTTACAATATAATTTAATGAAATAGGCCAGGTAAAATTAATCTTTAGATTCTCATCCCCGCCCGCCCCTCTCAAAGTGCCCCGCCCCGTTGTTTTTTATTTTGCTTTTTGGGTGCCAAACGTATTATTTTCATGTATTTTTATTCAGCAAGAATCTGGGTCAAAATTTAAGAGTTATCTCCCGTCTGTATTAAAAGTCGCGTGGCGCTATTTATAGCAAAAAAACTATGTGAAGAATGGAGAAAAATCGGCAATAAAGGCAGTTTAAATATGTAAGGAAAAGATAATTTGTCAGTAAAGAGAAGGCAGAAAAGCAAAAATAACATATAAACACATCTATAGATATCATCACTGGCATGGGCAAGTTTTTAAAGAGATTTTAACCAAGTAAAAACAGACGAAGAAAATACACATGGTCAAGTTTTTAATAACGATCTCCAGTTGTATGTGATTTTGCATTAATAAAAATAAAACATCGTCCAAAGACTTTAGAGAATAATAAAATCTTAAAACTGTTCAGGCCTAGGCTTTTCAGTAGAATATTTCACAGATTTACACAATCCTGTTTTGCAAATATGATATATTTTAATGTCGAACATGTCAAGTCTCAAGAACGATTGAATGTATCAGGACAGCGTAAATCTGTGATATCTGTACAGATTATATATCACACAGAACAGGAGTTGTTGGTAAAACTATAAGGTATTTGGGAAAAGGCCGATGAGAAAACATGCATATGCAGTTTATTAGGATCAGCACCTCATTTTGTTTGGCTTGTGCCGTATCCGTGTACTTGATAATTTGTTAATAAAACTATAAATATTCTATAACAAGAATCTTCTGTAGATATTTAAAAGAATATGAAAACAATAAAATCTATTTATATTGTCATTAACATATGTAAAAATTACGTGTACGAATGTTTTGTTGATACTTTCAATTATAAAAAATAAAAAATAAAATCCGCCCACCCGCCCCAATTTTTTAGCAAATTAGGATGAGAATCTAAATTTTAAATTTATATGGCCATAGAAAGAACATTTTTACACTTTACATAAAGAACTAATATTACAACAAATAGCATATATAATGCATGTCAAGATATAATTGAAAACATTGCCAGTGTATGCATTTATAACTGCATGTCTGGGTTGAACTTTTAGGTTTTTCAATTTCTCCACGAGGTCAATTTCAACCAAACTTTCCATTAAGCATCACAGGGTAAAGTGGAATCCAGTTTTTATCAATTGAAGAGCCACATTTTTTCCGAAAGAGAGAAACGATATAACTTTATAGTGAAAATAAATTTTCCTAATCAAGAAGCACTGATTTAGAAAATACAGAATCTAAAGCTGTTCATTATGAAGCACAGTTTCAAGTTTATTCCATTCATGATCTTTAAGGTTTGGATTGGACTATATTAAGGTTCAAAGTATCATATAGGCATATTAGGGAAAACAGTAGACATTTCATTTAGAATGCTATTCAAAAGAATAGCAAGGATGAAATTAAGTCAGATTGATCTGCTAGCCTCCCCTTGCTTTGCAAATTGAATTTTTTTTTTTTTCAAGTCATATATCCTGTGTTCAGTATGGGACATAGTAGGAATAAATAGAATTTCTAAGAACAAAAATGAAAATTTGCACTTTTTAGAATATGGCTTTCAACTTTGTTTGGATAATTTACGCATGTGAGTTAAGGCTGGGTATAGGCGTTTCTATGCAAATAAGCTAATAAAAATGCATAAGAGGTATATTTATTATTCAGAGAAAGTTTTGATTTATTTTCTTATGCATACTTAGTACCCATGATATGTTATAGCCAGTACACATTATGACGTCATATTATGACGTCATTGTTCTTACCTACTTATTGTTATAAAACATATCAACAAAACAGCTTTGGCGCAAGGGATTTCCCTATTTAATTTTACATAAAAATTGTATAATGCTAAGAAGAATATACTATAGATTAATAAAACTACTGCACAAATCCTAGGCATTTTCTCATTTGATTGGAATTTGAGGAAACATATACCGGACTGTACATTTTTACCCTGATTCAACTTAAAACTTTTCAAATAGAAATTATACAACTGAGCTATTGATATTTGTGCAGCAATACCAGCAATCTTTGTGATATTTTGCTTCTAAATATACCTTGTTTCAGTTAAATAAAATAGAGCATGCCCTTGCGCCGAAGTATTTTAGTTGATGTCCATTATAATTTTGTGTAGTAAAGAACAATGACGTCATAATATGACGTCATAATGTGTACTGGCTATCTCATGTCATGGGTACCAAGTATGTATTTAATAGACAATAAGTTTGAACTTTCTCTGTATAATAGATATAGTCCTTAGACATTTTAATTAGTTTATTTGCATAGAAATGCCTATACCTAGCCTTAACTCACCTGCTAAGAAATGTTATTAAATATTTGTTTGGCAGAGACTTAGTGAGCGCATTTTAACTCAGATGAGCTTTATAGCCTATTGGGCTCTTGTTCTAATGAAAGAAAGAATTTTTAAAATGTTTAACCCCCTAACAGTATATGTTGTATAACAACATGTCAAAAGAATATTTAATCAATTTTTTCCAGGGTTCCATAATAGATACAACTAGTGTTTATGCTGAAACATATGATTTGACTGACATCTTTAAAAAGTATACAGACAGAAATGGTAAGAAATGCACATGTATCAGGTACTCAACACTGTAAAGGCTATATGTTATAATTACTTTATTCTGGCTCAAACTTTATAATGAATTCAGAATATGATCCTGATTTCTACCTTTACAGTGACAACACAACTAAATGCCCCATACTCTGTTTGGAAGAGTGGTCGAGGTGCAGGACAGCCATTTGTTATCAACAGCAACATAACTTATACAGAACAAATGATATTGTATCCTTTCTCAGATTACACAACTATAATACCAGTATCTCACTCACAACAGGACAGCATGTTCAAGTTCACACCTATGTTCACATAACTTGAAGCATATGATTCTTGGTACATTTTAAGAAATCAATTACAGGTAAACTTCGGTATCTCGACATCGGATATGTCGACAACCTGGGATATGTTGACATCCTTCTGCGGTCCCGGCAGTATTTACTATATAAATGATTTGCAAAGACTCTTATATGTCGACCTCGGTAATGTCGACAACCCGGGTTATCTCGACGTATATTCACAGTCCCAAGAGCAAAATTTACCTGGCATATGTCGACATCGGCAATTTTCTGCTCTACTGAACCTAACTGTTTGTCAGATAGGGTCGCTCGTCACGCATGGACGACTCCGGGTATCTCGACGTCGTCAAAGTTTCACACCTTTCACACCCATGTTTTGACTGCATGCTGCTTAATTAATTTTATAGACTGTGTTTGTAGGTGAATCCCAAGCCCCTTCGGCATCTTTGAGAAGTTAATTGAGCTTGGGTAATATCATTGCTAAATCTACACGATTCTGCGTAAATGTACAGAATGTTATTTATATCTAAGCATAAAATAACTTTCAAATTTGAAAAAGATAACTAAATTACAATGAATAACAAACACACTGAAAAATTCAAACTAAGGAATTAAAAAAAATGTTTTAATGATATTTTGTAGTTAAAATGTATTCAACAGGAAACAATCCAATTAAATACACGATTGACCGAATCAGTCAGAATTCGTGCATCTGTAACATCACTACGTTAGTTTAGATACACAAATCTCTTTAAAAAAATTAATTTTAATGTACATCCTTCCTGAATGAAATAAGAAAAAAGTAATCCGCATTTAATTTTTTTTTACCGTATATTGGATGTCGACTTTATACGGTTCGAAGTTTATAGAGCGCATTTCGTATCCTGTTCTGACAAAAAGGCAAGTTACACGCGAATGCAGTTCAATGCTGTAACTTTGTGCTGAAACTTTGTGAATTTAGAAAGATTTCGATAAAGAACACGTTTTATAAACAAAATTTTTAAAATAACTTCTTAGATTTTTAATAAAAATAGAGGGAATTCTGAAATATGTTGAGCTACAGTCTATATCAAAGTCATGTAGATATAATAAGCTTGTCTGTTTTGCTATGGAATGAAATCTTGGACGTCAAGTCTCAACTCTGATATCTCGACACCTCGGATATCTCGACATTTTCCGATGGTACCGTCGATGTCGAGATAACGAAGTTTACCTGTATGTTTATAATATATTTAGAATTGGGATATACTTCTTAGTTTAAAATGATATCCTCAAAGTAAATTGTATCTTTGCTAGCTAAGGGTTTCTGATCTGCTACTCTCCTCACAAACCTTTGGCCTATGGTGCTGTCAAAAGTCGGGACTGTTTATGTCACATGATCTCGAATCTTACCACATATGTACAGATTGGGTCATCAAAAGAAATAAAAAGTGTAAAAATAACATTTTGTAAAGTATTTAAAGAATAATAATAATTAATAACAAGCAGGTATTGAGTGATGTTCATTTGTAATGTAGGATGCAAAAATTGCAAATCTATATCTGCAATATAGATTCCTGATCAAATCGTGCACATCTGCTTAAAGTTCATAGCTATTTATAGAATGGCACGTTATCTTATGTAATGCTGTTTACTTGTGCTTTTGACTCCTGAGACTAGAGAGTCAAGATATATCCCAAATGGAGATATCATCATTTAAAAAAGCACTCGCTGATTGGTCAAACGATATCAAATGACTCCAAATTAGTCCAATCACAACTCAAAAAAAAAAACTTATAACTTTTGATAGCACCATAGGCCAAGGGTTTGGGAGGAGAGTAGCAAATCAGAAACCCTTGGCTATAGGGAAGATGAGTAAATTGCTGAATGAATTTAAGACCTAGATATAGTAACTTGACCTTAACCCCTAACAGATATTACCCAGGATTCTGGTACATGATCAAGTGGGGCTGGGTGCAGTATGTGTCAGTGCTCCTTATTTTCCTGTACGTATTTGACAGAATCAAGATCTTCATTTTCCAGAATCAGTTAGTAACTACAATGGTGGAGAAACCATGGAAACGAGAGAAAATGTCATGATGGACTCAGGTTTAGTAGTATGAGATTGTAGTGATCAAAATAGGATACGAAGGTGAATCTATGGCAGCTTGGTGACAGCTGGCTATGGGCTTTCCAGATGTAAGTGAATATGAAAAAGACACTAATGGTTACATTCCTTGTGATATTATGGTGTAATGAAGCTAGATAACATGTAAAAGAGTGAATGTTTTAGAGATGTGCTGATTTTTAGCCTGAAAAAATTATGCAAGATAGTAACACAGAGAGATGTTCTTGTTCTTGTAGATAGTTGTCATGCTGAATTCATTCAGTATTTGTTCTTAATTTATCAGAATGTACATTAACATCATGTTTGAATGACATTTTATTAAAAAATATACATGTATATATAAATAATGAATGTATGATGTTCTTGGAACAGTGAACTGTCTGACAGAATGTGATCATGAAAGATTTTTCATTATATTTTTTTTTTATTTTAATAAAAATGTAAAATAGGTGAATTATTATTTATTTCTTTATTCACTTTTGTATGTCAAATGTCACATGAATTAATTTTGGTAAAGTTTATCTGACACAAAATTTTGCTTAATTTGAGAGGCATTCAGTAGATATTACGATTAAGGTAAAAATTAATGACTTGTTATAGTGATTATGGAATCTGTTAATAGTTTGTGTGACAGATGTTCTCAAATGTAAAACAGTGACAGTAATAAATCAAATAATGTGCTTTAAAAAAAAGTTGCCTGGTAAGGATTTATAAATAGAGAATGTTTTGCCATCTCATTTAAAATGACTTAATATGGTCAGCCAAGAGAAGTCCTGTTATTTGATGCAAGAGGTTTGAATAACTGCATCTCTGCAGGGCTGTATTTTTGTAAAAATGATAGTTACATTGGTCATTATTTTAAAAATTGTCCAGAAATCTTTTATTATACCCCCACTCCGAAGGAGAGGGGGGTATACTGTTTTACCCTTGTGTGTCTGTCTGTGTGTGTCCCTGTGTGTCTGCCCGTAACAAACTTTCGTCACAGTTTTCTCAGCAACTACTCATCACAGATGATTGAAATTTTAGCACAATCTTTGTTTAGGCATGCCATATGGTGATATTCATTTTTGTTTGAATCCAATGTCAACTTCCTGTTATTCTGTGCATCTGTCCGTATCAAATTTTTGTCACAGTTTTCTCAGCAATTACTTAACGCTGATGCTTGAAATTTTAGCACAGTCTTTGTTTAAGGGTGCCATATGGTGGGATACATTTTTGTTTGAATCCGATGTCAACTTCCTGTTAATCCGTGCATCTGTCTGTCTGTCCGTGTGTCTGTCCGTAACAAATTTTTGTCGCAGTTTTCTCAGCAACTACTCATCACAGATGCTTGAAATTTTAGCACACTCACTCTTTGTTTAGGCATGCCAAATGGTGGGATTCATTTTTGTTCGAATCCGATGTCAACTTCCAGTTTCTCCGCGCGTCTATCTGTACCAAATTTCTGTCTTGGTTTTCTCAGCAACTGCTCAGTGCAGATGCTTGTAATTTTAGCACAATCTTCATTTAGGCATGCTAAATGGTGGGATTTATTTTTGTATAAATTAGATGTCAACATGAGAGTATATATTCACACCACAGCGGGGGTATTACTAGCGAGCATTCGCTCACAGGCTTCTTGTTAGATACTATGATTAAAGGGTTTTTATCACGTATTTAAATTTCTTTAAAATGAAACGCTATTATATTCTTGAAACATATGTCATTTAATTATGAAATAATTTTGAAAATGATCAGAATTAGACGATAAAACGCCCTTAAAATAGGGTCCTCGAAGTAAAAATCTCCACTAATTAGATAGGGGTCACGTGGTACTGAAAAGTCATGGGTGTCAATGGTCAATTAGAACTCGTAAAGCTTATCGTAATTTTCTGTACTATAAAATATTTTAAGGAAAAATACCTTTCTTAAAAAAAAATTCCAACACACATTTTTAGCTCACCTTGACGAAGTCAAGGTGAGCTTATGCTATACCCCTGGCGTCAGCGTTAGCGTCGGCATCCTGGTTAAAGTTTTAGGAGCAAGTCCATTCCCAAGTAACTATAAGCCCTACCTGGACCAAACTTGCATGGATGATGCATCTACTGATGGACACTACCACACTTGCTTCAAATGCTGGATCTGACCTACATTTTCCAGTTGAGTGACCAGGCTAAAGTTTTTAGAGCAGGTCCATTCCCAAGTAACTAGAAGCCCTACCTTAACCAAACTTGCATGGATGATGCATCTAGGGATGGACATTACCACACTTGCTATAGATGCTGGATCTGACCTAGATTCTTCAGATGAGTGACCAGGTTAAAGTTTTTGGAGCAGGTTCATTCCCAAGTAACTTAAGCCCTACCTTGACCAAACTTGCATGGATGATGCATCTAGGGATGGACACTACCACACTTGCTTCAGATGCTGAATTAGACCTACATTTTTCAGATGAGTGACCAGGTTAAAATTATTTGAGCAGGTCCATTCCCAAGTAACTATTAGGTCTACCTTAAACAAACTTGCATGGAAGATGCATCTAGGGATGAACACTACCACACTTGCTTCGGATGCTGGATCTGACCTAGATATTCCAGATGAGATACCAGGTAAAAGTTTTTGGAGCAGGTCCATTCCATAGTAACTATGAGCCTTACCTTGACCAAACTCACATGGATGATGCATCTTGGGATGTACGCTATCAAACCTGCTTCAGATGCTGGATTTGACCTAGATTTTCCACATGAGTGAATTTTAGCCATATTTTAACCAAATAAGCATGGATGATGTAGCTAGGGATAGTCACTTCCAGACTTGCTTTGGATTCTGAATCTGACCTACATTTTCCAGATGAGTGACCAGGATAATTTATTTGGAGTAGCTATATAACATGTCCTGTTATGATTAAACTTGCATAGATGGTGCATCTAAGGATGAAAACTTCCAGACTTACTTTGGATTGGAACTGACCAAAATTTTCTTGATAAGTAAACAGAATAAACGTTTTTTGAACAGGTCTATTTCCAAATTACTATAATTCCTACTTAAACCAAACTTGCATGGATATTGATCTTGAGATGTACACTAACTTAAAAAAGAATATGCTGTGAAATTTGCCTTACTTAAAGATACATTTGTAACATTGTAACATTCGTCGAGGTGAGCTTCGTAATCTTTGATTACCTATGTTTAAAAGTTGCACAGAATCTAGTAGGAATGTTGTGAACTTCATAATGGTGTACAGCGCCATTGACTAAGTGTATGATATTAACTGCTGGAACAGATAGAAGATATTACTAAGGATTTATTTATTATATATAAATAATTGAAATAATGAAGAAGGAGAATTTGAAATTCACATATTTATAAATATTTATGAAGTTAAACTTTAGTAATTCATTCTCTTCAGTAGAAGTCCTGAGTTGTCAATGGCTTCGTCTTCGGTGATCTCTCCAATTGTATATGTAATAGTTATTGTATATTTATTATGGTTTATCCTGATTTATTTGGACAAAGGGCGGTGACAAGTATGAAGCACAAGTCTCCGCTCCTTTGTCCAAATAAATCAGGATACACCATAATAAATATTCAATAACTTTCTTGTATCATGGCCAATCAAAACGTCAATAATTGTCATGTCACAAATTTTCAAGCATGATTTTTAATTTCACCAATAAACCAGAAGTCTCTGATGAGACTGTAGCTCTACTGGTTGTATTTATAAAAGAAGATAAAAGTAGCACTTGGACTTGAAACTTTGCAACAGCAATAAATAGAATAATGATCCTTGGTTTAGTCTCTTTTGTGGCAAGATTTATTATCATATCAGACGAAAACTGTAAGAGGAGTAGCCTTTTAAAACAATTTTACAGAAATTTTGATTTAAGTAACCATGGCAACATCATTCAACAAAATCAAAAAACAATAACACCAATTACATATCTCTGTAGTCTACTTGTATGCCACATTATACTGAAATCAGACAAAAAGTGTAGGAGGAGTAGCATTTTGAAAGTATTTCAAGAAAATTTCTATTCTTAGTAACCATGGCAACATTGTTCACTGAAATTGGTACAGAGAATTATGTATCTTAGTGTAGTTTACTTGTGTGCTAAGTAATACTAAAATCAGACCAAAACTGTAGGGGTAGCATTTTGAAGGTATTTCAACAGAATTATGTATCTTATTATAGTCTACTTGTGTGCCAAGTTATATTGAAATTAGATAAAAACTGTAGGAGGAGTAGCATTTTTGAAAGTATTTCACAGAAATTTCTATTTTTAGTAACCATGGCAACACCGTTCATCGAAATCAAAAACCGATAAAAAGAATTATGCATCTTAGTATAATCTACTTGTGTGCGAAGTTATATTGAAATCAGATAAAAACTGTAGGAGGAGTAGCATTTTGAATGTTTTTCACAGAAATTTCTATTTTTAGTAACCATGGCAACACCGTTCATCGAAATCAAAAACCGATACACAGAATTATGTATCTTAGTGTAGTCTACTTGTGTGCCAAGTTATATTGAAAGCAGACCAAAACTGTAGGAGGAGTAGCATTTTGAACAATTGTTTACAGACAGACAGACAGACGGACGGACGACGGACACCTTACTATCGCATAAGCTCTTCTGGTCTGTGACCAGTAGAGCTCAAAATAAAGTTTTTGTCAGGTGACCACATGGATAATCTCTCCTTCTCGTCAGTATTAAAGTAACTACCGAGGGTGTGTACTTATAATATTTATTAACAACTATATACAAATATACTCTTGTCGTGGGTTCTGGCCCGTGCTGACTCACCGTCTCTGCACCACGTCTGGTGTGCCTGACATCTTGGCGGTGAAAGAGGTTCGTGCGACTGTCCCGCCATCTGACGTTGCATCATCAGTAGGTCATACCACGGGACAGTCGCACAGATTCTTTGAAAGGCGGGAGTCCACAGTGCGGGGGAGGGTCTGGAACCATCTCCAACGATGGGGCGCTGTTAACGCCCACCCGGGCGGACGGCCCAGGGACGACTAGTGCCGGGGCGAGCCCCAGACAAAACACACCCAAGATAACTCCTGGGAAAGGGGTCCGGGATCGCTCCCAATTAAATACTTCCAGGCCCTAGGTCCGGGATAATTCCCAGGTAAAGAGTCTGGCCTGGCAGGGTACACTGGAGCGGGTCAAAGCCAGCTGACCCACTCACCATTCCTGTAAAAACGCCAGAGTAACCCGTCTTACCCTGGGCCAAGATGGGGGCTCCAGAACAACACCAATGTTTGCTACCCGGGGTTCCCCCATACAATTGGGGCAGATATACTGATCCAGGGAGGAAGCCTCCTCTGAAGTGACCCCCACACAAACCCCGTGGAACCAACTGTCACACTGGTCGCATTGAATCATTAGCCCCCCATCATCCGGTCTACGACAGAAACAATAGAGCTCAGAGTCTGTCAGATCCCCATCTGACGACTTAGCGGACTCAG